CCCACTATGTCGAGTTTCATGGAACAATAAATTCCTTCTTTTTTTTTTTTTTTTTTTGGATTTTTTTTTTTATTGGTTGTTCAAAACATTACAAAGCTCTTGACATATCATATTTCATACATTTGATTCAGGTGGGTTTTGAACTCCCAATTTTACCCCAAATACAGATTGCAGAGAATTTGGCCATAAGGAACACTATGCAAAAAAACCAAACATGAACTGGTCAGGGAGGGTAGTGGATATTCAATAACTAAAGATAACAGTATTTGTTGTGAAAAAAACAAGAATTCAGCAACCATTGGAGAAATTTATCCTTCTAAAAATGTTGACATTCTATTTTTTAATTAAAAAAAAAAAATATCACTTCATTTCTAGCTTGAAGAGAAATTAGTTTTGGAAAATAACAGGTAAATTAAACAGATTTACCATGGAGAGAAATTCAGTATTATTCCAGTCTAATTCCTTATTAGATTTTTCTCTGCAATTTAAGAATATGATCCTAAGATTCTTCTGAAATATATAAAATAATATAGCAACAGCCTTCAGAGCAATCCCTCCAATAGTTAACTAAAACAGTCATGCAGGAACAGAGAACACACACAAAGGCACAAAAATCACTGAAAAGAGAAAGGAAAGGGTTAACGGCAGGAGGAAAGAGAGAAAAACAACTCTACAAGTTATAAATCCAAAACTTAAAAGGAAGTTAGACTAAGTACCATGTAAATGAAGCCAAAAATCCAACTTTAGCTCATACCAGACTCCAGCTTCATTTCACCTCAACAAAGGTAGAAAGTTGTTTCATTCTTCCTCCCTAATCTCAACCTTGGCCTAATCTGGTTCAGAAACACAGGTTCTATACACACCAGAAAACTGCAGACATCTGTTACTAACCTACATAGTTGAAGCAACCTATTTTATCCTAACTCACTTAAACTTCTCACCTCTACAGCTGTTTAAGAAAAAAGTCACTTTAAATTTTAAAATGGTCTCCTAATAAATGTGATTTTTAAACAAGTAATATCCTTCCCTCTGTGTCTCAGTTTTGTTCATATTTTTAAAAAGGGCTTTCAATTAAAACATCTTTCTAGGAGATAAGTTCTTTCTAGGATGAGAAAATACCCCCTGATGTATAAACACAAATCACAATGACTGTTAAATATTTACCAAGCTATGTTCAGCTTTATGATTTTCAGTATGACATGCAAAGATGGAAAACAGTGCATGATCTAGTTGGAGAGTTAGGAAAATTAAACTGCAGTCACCAACATAATTATGAATATGATAGAAATTCAGAGGAGACCTGGCAGAGAGGGAAGACTTACTTATGTGAATTGAGCTAGGACTCTAAGAAGAAATTTGAAAAGCCAGGGAAGAAATGGAAAAACACTCTAGTCAAGAATACTACATCAATGAAAGCTAAAGAATAAAATGAGAAATACCAAAGTTAAAATAAGTGACTATTAAAAAAAAGAATAAGTTACTATTGTGGGCATAGCCTGCAAAGAAAAACACCAAAGTACCACACCAAATTGTTTATACTATAAAATGAGCTGCAGTAAGATTTTAAAGTACTGTGGCTATAGGCTGCCAGCTAAAGTTTGGAAAGATTCTCATCACTTTGAAATTTTACTCAAATAGACTTCCACTTTTAGGAATATTTGATATCACTAGAGAAGATAATGTAACCAATAAAAGATGATCATCATTATATGCCATTTGGGAAACAGACCACAGCAGAGGTAAGATGCTCAGCAAGACTTACTTAGTTACTTCTGCAATAAGAAGAATCAGTAATAGCTAAGAATTTAAAGAGCATTATCACATTAAGGCTCTCCTGATTCTGTAACCCATATATTGATTTCATATTTCTATAATCTAACCCACAAAACAATAATTAAAATAAAAGAATTCTATCTAACCAAGAACAAAGTTTAACTGTAAAAGAACAAGGAAACACAGACAGATTTAGAATTAGCATATAATAAACAAGGTAGAAAGGACTAGGGCTGCCAAGTTGGTGGGAGTAAAAGGAAATAAAGCATCTTAGTTTCTGAGTAAAATGCTGTTATTAAGTATAATTGCACCAACTTGATCCAAATCCAATATTTCTTATTCATTGAAAAAAAATTAAAATAGCAGCAATTTCCTTTATAAATAAACACTTCCAGCCAAGAAAGCTTCCACCAAAAAGGTTTAATCCCAAAGGTAATAAAAAGCAGGAGGGAAGTTATTTCAGTTCTTATAATTTCAAATAACTTCTAAATATAAATATGTTATAGCTAAGTAATAATTACTTCTAAAATTCTAATAAAGTTACCATAAAATTCTTTCAAAAATAGTCTAATCTTATCCTTTTAAAGTATATTAAAAATAATGAACATAACTTTCCTGTGTTCTTATGTGAATACACAATCAGTGTAACTCCACATCATACACAACCACAAAAATTGGAAGTTATACTCCATGTATATATGTCAAAATACATTCACTCTCATGTATAACTGAAAAGAACAAATTTTATAAATAAATAAATATAACCAAAAAAATAATAAAGTATATTTTAAAAAGATAGATCTTGGGCTGGGGTTGTGGCTCGGTGGTAGAGTTCACCTCGCGTGCAGGAGGCACTGGGTTCAATCCTTAGCATCACATAAAAATAAAATAAAGATATTGTGTCCACCTAAAAAACTAAAAAAATTAACTAAATACATATATATATAGACAGATAGATAGATAGATAAAAGATATATCTTCAATTGAATAATTAGAATTTATTATTCCTTATTAATGTTATATTATGTTAATATTTATTATATATTAACAATTAACATATAATATGTTAACTGTGTCAATTCCCTCACAAATACTGGTGCCTATAATACAATATGACATGCTAAAGTTGAATATAAACACCATAATGCACACTATATGGAAATTTAATTTCTTATGATAACTTAGTATTATTGTACTCTTTATTTGTAAATTGCAAGTGGATCAGAAACTAAAAATTTACAATATATATCTGCTGATAAGCCATATCTGTACACTTTCTTAAGTAAGGCGAAAGGTGGCTCTTGAAAGTCCTATATGTAAAATAAGTATTTATTTCAATAAAGTGTTTCTTTCCATCACTCTTCCCATGCCCAAAATATACGCTAAAACCACATTGACTTTTAAGTATTTAAAGATATTGGCTCCTAAAGAGCATGGAGATTATAAGCCAAGATGGGCCACAGACCCACCAGTGTGGATCTGTCTTCTTGCACCTGAGCTGTCATTTGTGGGGCCAAAGAGAACAGTTCTTGGATGAATATATGGACTGCTGTAAGAATTACTCTCCCAGAAGAGAAATACCTGATTTTGCCCTGCTGGCAAGATGTTTTTCCTGTTCTAAATCCTTCTAAGTAAATCTAATACAAAATGTCTGTTGAGTCTGTTTGGTTGGACTTAAAAAGACCATCTGGTGGACATTGTAAAAGCCAATTTCAAATTTTTAAATTATTCTTCAGATACAGAAAAACTATTATTCCTGTTAAGTACACAGCAATTATAACTTCATGATAGTCCTTACTCATAAAACATAAGGAAGTAATCTCTTTTTAAAATATTCAGTATTTCAAAACACTGTTATTTTCCAATATGTAGGCTTTAGGATGAGCATAAATACAAATACGAATACCGCCTCACTGAATTTCAACAATAATATTACACACCCAACCCTACATACCATTTTTTAAATGTGGCACAAAATATTCTAAATGAGTAGAAGTGAGCACGTCAGGAATCTAAAAAAAATTTAGACAAGGTTTTGTCTTGTCACAAGATCATAAGATCCTTGTCAGGATCTTGCCTTTTATACTAATGACCTTGAAAAATTACGCACTAAAAAACAAGATCTCTCTCCTATCTGATAAATTTTGGAACTTTGATGTTAAGATAGATTTTGTTTTTCATTTTAAATGCAAAACAGTATACTATGATTCTTAAAATCTAAACTGCTTAAGCACATGACATTAGCAGTGATGGATCACTTAACATAATAAAAATAAGTTCAAACCCCATGAACACTGGCAGTAAATGATCTCTAAATGATACCCATCCAATACTATAAAAAGAAATCCTTGTTTATTTTAAATAAAACAAATTTTACTGAGTATACATATTGTAGAATCACACTGGTCAAACAGTCATATATATACATAAAATAATAATGTCTGTTTAATTCTACCATCTTTCTTATCCCCACATCCCCTGCCTTCCCCTCCTTTCACTTCCCTCTACCTAATCTAAGGTAATGCTATTCTTTTTTTTGCATTACAATTCCTTATTTTTCAATATATGACAATAGTGGAATGCATTACACTCATTATTACCCATATACAGCACAATTTTTCGTAACTCTGTATATAAAGTATGTTCACGCCAAATTATGCCATTATACATGTACTCTTTTTGTTTGCATTACAAGTCTTAATACACATATATACCACAATTTTTCATGTCTCTGTTTGTATACCACAATTTTTGTATCTCTGTTTGTATATAAAGTATGTTGACACCCAATTCAAGTCTTCATACATGTAATATGTATACTCAGAAAAATGAAAAATTATATCCCTTCTATGTATGATATATCAAAGTATATAAGTGCATTCTACTGTCATGTATAACTTATTTAAACAAATAAAAAATTTAAAAAATAGAAAATAAATTTTAAAGAAAATAATCTATCAGGCAAATCACTTTCTTGGTATCTCAATAGCTTTCACCTTTAATTTATAAGGGACATCTTTTTAGAAATTCTAAAGAAAATAATGGTGCAAATTAAGGCTTTTTCATATTCTTTTTCAATAAAAGTTAAATTTTAAATATTTTGATTACTGACATCCACACTAAAATGTCACTTGTCATTTTTTAGTAAAATCATCAGCCATTATTTTATAAAATTTCCATGGAATTTCTTAACATTTAATAAAATCATGTTAAATTAAACCACTTACTGAAAACAGCCCACTCTTACTGCCACAGGAATATGGGGAAGCTGAGTAGCCCACTTCAGTGTCACATCCTGATAAACATGCAACATGTTTTTATGGTTTCCAATCAAAGTATTTATTGTTCCTTCAGAAACTGCAGGTTGAAAATACAGAAAGAGAATACTAAGGAAATAATCATTTGAAACAGTATATTATATTTCTTTTAGAGGATTTAAGATACAAATTAATTCTAACAGCTTGAATTTAGTGCATAAAGATTTTAAACAATAAAAAATATCATTTTTCAATTTCAAGCTACCAATATAAAAAAAAAACAGTTTACAGACTTGGAAACTATAGATAGTGACCATTTATCTAAAAAAGTATAAATTTTCCAAGCTCAGTGGCACTCGCCTCTAATTCCAGCAGCTGGGGAGGTTGAGGCAGGAGTTTCACAACTTTGAATCTAGCTTCAGCAATTTAGTGAGGCCCTGAACAACTTAGTGAGAACTGTTTCAAAATTTAACAAAAATAGAATAAAATTTTTAAAAAGGGGGATCAATGGTCAAGCACCCCTGAGTTCAAACCCTGGTACAAAAATAAATAAATAAGAAGTATAAATTTCGTTAACATTTAATCATTTTGGCTAATGATTCACTATGGATAAATCATTCTATTATAATTACTACTGTTTATAAAACTGTCCGATGTTCTCTTGGAAGCATCTTGAAGAGTGACATTATGGAAAGCATAATGTATGCTAGCAGCCAATTCTATAAGTCATTTTGTACAAAGTAAAATGACTCACAAAACAAAATGTGTGTTTTATATCAAACTTCTGTTCAAACTTTGAAAGTTAAAATTTCCATTACATGTTCAGCACAGAACTATTGTCTTAGATGTTTAAAATATGTGTATGAGTGTGGATTTTTCTGATATATATAAAATATAGCCTTGACATATGGAAAAGATAAAAGAAAATCTTTCTACACACCTGAGCAATATGGGAGAAAACAACTCGGGCTACAATCAAGCTTCTTCATGAATCGAATTTGTCCATTATCCTTAAGACAAAAAAAGTTTCTCTCACCCAGAACAAAAACAGAAGATGCTGACTGATTGAAAGAAACAATACATATATCAAGGGCTTGCTCGCCAATATTTAGAGCCCAATCCACCTGCAAAGCAAAACCCGCAATCAGGTTAGTTGCTAAAAACAGAACATTTCACTCATTCTCATATCAATACAAACTAAGAAACTGCTTTATATCAAAGCAGAATATAAAGACTAGCTAGGCTTCATTAATTTTTTGGAGGGGGTTGTTTTTTAATCACTGTATTTTGCTACTTTACAAACTCTAGCAGGATTTTTTTATATTCAAATTAACCTTTTATTTTAGCCAATTGATCAGTATAAATGCAGAGTTACAGACAAACCAACCCTTCAAACAGTCACATTAAACCATAATGGACTTTGCCACACAGAGGCCATACTATACTACAATAGTAAATCACCCTTTACTTAGCCACAGGTTGACAACTGTGAACAGCTCTAGCAGGTTTTTTAGGGGGGGTTGTTTGTTTCTTTGCTTGCTTGTTTGTTTGTTTTAGTTGTAGATGGACACAATACCTTTATTTTATTTATTTATTTTTAGGTGGTGCTGAGGATCGAACCCAGTGCCTCACACATGCCATACAGCCCTCTAGCATGTTTTGCACCATCTATTATCAGATGATATTAGCTATTTGGTTGTTCAAAAATACCCATTTAAAAGCTATCTTCTTCCCTGAAAAAATCCTATAAGAAAGCTATTGTGGGGGCAGGGGTTGTGGCTCAGCAGTAGAGTATTTGCCTCGCGCATGTGAAGCACTGGATTCTATCCTCAGCACCATATAGAAATAAATAAACAAAATAAAGATATTGTGTCCATCTACAACTAAAACAATATATATTGAAAAAAAAGAAAGAAAGAAAGCTATTTTGCTGTGTTGGACCTGAAACACTGTTATTTCTGTCTATATGCTACTGACCAAACCAAGTCACATGGCCAAGCCAAAGACCAAAGCAGGGAAGTACACTCTGTCCATGATGAGACCATGGCTAGGATGTGAGCTTGCGATAGGGAAAGGGGAATAGAACAATTAGGGTCTATGATACATACTTCACTTAAAGATATTAATTGTCCAAGATGTCAGAATCTGGAATTCAAAACCTATATCTATAGGATCCAATGCCCATGTTATTTTAATATACATTTTTAAATTTTATTCTGTTTTAATTCTGATACAGTAGAATAAATTATTCTTCATTACTCAAAAAAGAAAGAAAGCTAGCTATAGATAGGATCCTCTGCACACACGAAGTACTCTACAGTGTTTCTTTTGGCAACATGGTCAATGTTTAATAAATGCTACCTAAAATAATGAAGTAATAAATGTACAATGAACATGTAAAAGTTTTTAAAAAATCATCTTCCAAGTAATTAAGATCTCTAAATCAAGAAGATGCAAAAGAACAATGACATACCATGTTGAAAAATACTGGATGGCATATATCACTTATGGGAATGATAATGAGATGACTTCACACAAATAAAATCGGAACAGAGGAACTAATCCTGCCCTCAAAGTTAGGCTATCATCAATAAACAATGGATCAATGAAAAGTCACATTAAAGCTGCAGATAGATTTTTGGCTATCAAGACATGACCAGGTATTAATCTATCTATTTTAGGTATTAAAATATATAAAGAAGATATGAGGGCTGGGGTTGTGGCTCAGTGGTAGAGCACTTGCCTAGCATGTGTGAGGCACTGGGTTTGATTCTCAGCACCACATATAAATAAATAAATAAATATCCATCAGCAACTAAAAACATCTTTTAAAAAAAGAAGAAGATATGAAATGCAAATGGAGCTGGTCAAAAGGAAAGATATTGCCAGTGTGTGTATATAAGAACAATCAATAGGAGGGAGATGGCAGAGTGAACATAGGTAGATGAATCAGGCTATCTTAAGGTAAACTAAAATTCAACATAAAAATATAATTATCATTTGGTTCATGTATAACTTACCTATATGAAAATTCCACTGAACATAAGACACGAATGGCACTCCCATGGCAGTTAAATTTCTCATTATAATTTTTAAAATATTTTTTTAGTTGTAGATGGACACAATACCTTTATTTTATTTGTTTATTTTTATGTGGTGTTGGGGATCGAACCCAGTCCCTCACACGTGCTAGGCAAAGGCTCTACCACTGAGCCACAACCCCAGGCCCTCTCATTACATTTTAATAGGCTAGCATTCTAGCATTTTTTGTCAATGGCTGTAACTCAGGCCAATATGTGCCTGACTCTGAGATATGATTTATTTAGAATGAACAGGCAAATTAAGTTTTTAAGGCCATAGTTTGAGATATAACCGCTAGATACTTTGAATTCACCAGGTACTGTCACTCTGTACCTTCATCACATTCTAAATGAATGAGTCTCTTAAAATACAGAAATTAACTAAAGATAGTAATAAAAATGTTTTTCCACTTCCAACCAAGATGGAAGGATTTACCATCCCACCTGAAACAACCACAAAATAGAAAATATATGAAATAACTTTTGCAAAGCGTCAGACAGGAAAAGACAGGGATCCCTTAAAGAAAGAAAACATAGACAGGGGTAGTAACGATAGCTCCAACTTTGGGGGAGTTTCCAGGCTAATGCACAGGGAAGAGAAATCCAGATAGAGACTATCAGACTCCCTGAATTTTAGATATGGACACTCAGTCCAAGGAAACAAAGGAAGCTGGGAGTTTACAAGACAGCATACCAAAGAGGAGAAGGCAACGTAAAGACAAAACTCTGGAGATCAGTAGAGTTCCTCTCAAATATTCAGCTGAGTACTTATCAGTACATTCATGTAAGGAAACTACCCAAAATCAAGGAAAGAGCCACCCGAAAGGACTAGATGTAACAGTGAGGATCATTTCACACAGAGAATTAAACACTGGCTATGCCTGCCAGCCAGGCTGGAAACCTTATAATTCTGAGGAAATTCAATGGAGTACTCAGAAGGATTTTGCCTGAGGAAGGGGAAATAAGTAGCCCTAGAATAAACACTGCTCTGGTCACACCTAATAAGTCTTAAAAAACAACACTCAAAAAGATCTAACTAGTTTTCAAGTAACTTAACTGTATCCCAGGGCTAAGCTCAAGAACAGTTTTAATAATATAAACATATCTAGTACCAACAAGGTAAAATTGACTATATCTGACGTTTTATAAAATTTTTTTTATTTACCAACCACGAAAAAAAAAAAAAAACAAGAAAATATGACCTACACAGAAGAAATAAATAAATTAACTGAGGGGCTGGGGATACAGGTAAGCTGGTAGAGTGTTTGCCTTATGTGCACAAAGCTCTGGGTTTAATCCCAGCATCACAAAAAAATTAAAAAAAATAAATTGAAACTGATACAGATATCAGATTATAAAACAAGTATTATAACTGTATTCTAAATCTTCAAAAAGTTATGTAGAGGCATGGAAGATATGAAAATATACAAGCTGAATATGTAGATATGAAAATTATAACAAATGAGAATTAATAACCACATTAGACACTGGAGGAAAAATGATTACTGGTCCTAAAAACAGCAACAGAAATTCTCCAAGAGGCTAAGGATGTGGATCAGTGGTAGAGCATTTGCCTGACATGCATAAGACAAAGTGATGGATTAGATTCCCATCACTGAAAAAAAAAATAGCTGACATTTAAAAAGAAAAAAAAAAGAAATTTTACCAAATGAAATAGCAAGAGTAAATAATTATTTTTTTAATGGGATGTAGTTCAGTTGTAGAGTGAGACCCTAGGTTCAACTCCTAGCACTGCTAAACAAATAAATAAATAAAATGAAAATCTGTCAGCTGTAGAACTGCAAGTAGCCTAACTATATGTATGATTAGAGTTCCCGATGAAAAGAAGAGAGAGAAAGAACACAGAAAAAATATTTGAAGAATTAATGGCCAGAAAAACAATGAATTCACAGATGGAAGGAGCTCAACAACTCCTAAGCTGGGAAGGGAGAAAGAAAGGAAGGAAGGAGAGAATGCAAGAAGGCAGGTATCATAATCTAAGTGCTCAAAATAGGTAATAGGAGGAAATATGAAAATTAGGCTCAAGAAAAAAGACATTATGAATAGAGGAATATAATGTACGTAAATTTGCCTATTAAAGAGGAGATTTTTGGAGATTTTTCAATGTTGGAATATTTACACAGACATGATCAACTGAGCATCTCTACTCCAAAAATCCAAATTTCAAAATGCTTCAAAATCCAAACCTTTTTGAGCATTAGGTCAGCACTCTATTTTGTAGAAGTTTATACTCACTTCAGTTAAAAGTATCCCAATTTCAACATCCACAATTCTAGTGATACAACTCTATAATTTGATTTATTATAGCTATGACTAGATATGTGCCTCTGTTACTCAATAGCTAACTAAATTCTTAGGTAATTGATGTAATTATACATAGAAAAGAGAAATGATTTAAGTATTTTTTAAAATTTTCTTCCTAGGAATTCTTGTTCTTAACAAACAACTATGATTAGATATGAAATATTTTTAAAAGGCCTTACAACTAGTCTTTTTCCAGAACCAAGTTTTTGCTGTTCAGTCTCCTGCCTTTTATCTGCATCTGTTGCAAAAGCAAGTACTTGGTACCTGTATGAAAGAGATGGAAAAAATATCAGTGACTTTAAAATGTAAGAAGCACAAATCATTTTAAACCTTAAGGGCAATAATCCATAACATTACAAATGACTTTTTCTTAAGTTTAAAAACTAAAACATTTGCAATTGATTTTTAATTGCATTATGTCATGAGATTATGCAAAACTGTCACAATAAAGAAACTATATTCCAATTATTCATTGTTGGGGAAAAAAAGCTTTATCAACTATCAAAGCACTTTCATTAGAACTCTGTGTGACAAATAACATGCAAGAAAGACCTAACATGGCCCCACCAAACAAGACAGAAGTTACTATAAACAATGCAGAGGAGTTAGATGTACTATAAATTATTAATATATAATCTATGGAACCAAGAAGAACTAAATTTACTTCTCAGGTAATCTGCTTACTCACTGTGAGTGAATTTTGGCAAATTAATCACTTTGTGCTTTTGCTTAATGAAATTAATAATCTCTAACTTAAACAGTAGTAAAAAGGAAAAAAAGACTAAAAATAAGTTATTAAAAAGTATCTAATACATATACACATTAAGTATTCCTTACCCAAAATTTTAGGACCAGATGTAGTTCAGCTTTTGGAGATTTTTGAATTTTGGAACACCTGCACAGACTTGACCAATTGAGCATCCCTACTCCAAAATCCAAATTCAAAATGCTTCAAAATCCAAACCTTTTTGAGCATGAGGTTAGCACTCAAAAAGTTTCAGTAATCAAAGCATTTCAGATTTTAAATTTTCAGATTAAGGATGTTCAACCTGTATTAGGTGCCCAATTATTGATTATGGATTGATAAAGAGATAGATACAGATCTACATATAGATAGATTATTAGATTATAAGATTATTATACTATTAATTTAGTATGTAATAGGTTCCCAATAATGGTCATTATGGATATTATGACCTCCTGAAAGTATTTTATAGCTTCTATTTCAATAGTTACTATTAGCCTACACTATTCTTTTTTTTAACTGTATTATTTTAGTTGAGAATTAGCACACTTTATTTTTCACTTCTTCACAGGATTTCATAGTGTTACATGCAGTTTTGCAAAACTGTTATTATTTCCCAAGTATTTTATATTTTGATTTTCATTTATATTAAAATTTATAAAATTCTCCCTTTAGTTTCTTTTAGAAACATCCTTGGCTTTGTTCTCATTAATTTCCACTTTATTATTACTCAGCAATAAAAGAGAATAAAATCATGGTATTTGCAGGTAAATGGACAGAGTTAAAGAAGATAATGCTAAGTGAAGTTAGCTAATCCCAAAAAATCAAATGCCAAATGTCTTCTCTAATATAAGGAGGCTGATTCACAGTGGGGTAGGGAGGGGGAGCATAGGAGGAACAGATGAACTCTAGATAGGGAAGAGGAGTGGGAAGGGAAGGGAGAAATGATGGTGGAATGTGATGGACATTATTATCCAAAGAACATGTATAAAGCATGAATTGATGTGAATATACTTTGTATATACCCAGAAATATGAAAAATTGTGTTCTATATGTGTAATAAGAATTGTAATGAATTCTGCTGTCATATATAAATTTTAAAAATTAGCCTATACCATTCTTAAAAACAAATTACAAATAGCATTCAATCTAGAAATAATTTAGTCAATCAAATTTATATTCCTTTAATTCCCATTGATTAATGGTATATTTTTAGAATAGTAATCCTACTCTAAAAAAAGAAACTTGCTTTCCTTTCTATTGAATCAAAGCTCCTTTATCATTCTTCCATAGCTCAGAGGAAAATTAAGAACAGATAAATTCAGAAACCTCATATTTTCTAAGAACTTTAGATGTCTGAGAATAAAACCCAGGGACCTACATGAATAAAATGTGGAATATCTAAATAAGCACTGAAACGTACAGTGTTATTCCAATGTTACCTCCCACTATAGTTTGGATGTGCACCCCCTAAAAGCATGTGTTAAAAACGTAACCCCCAATGCAATAGGGGAAGCCGATTGGGAGATGTTTAGGTTCTGAGGGCTCCACACTCATGAAGGGAGTAAAGCCCACCATTAAAGGGCTTGAGGCTACAAGATCCATCTCTAGCTTCCACTTGTGCTTGCTGGTTTGCCCTTCTACCAAGAGGTGACACAGCAAAAACACGCTCTTGTCCTTAGACTTCCCAGCCTCCAAAACTATAAGAAATAAATCTCTGTTCTTTATAAATTATCCAATCTGGATATTCTGTTATTGTGGCACAAAATTAAGACGTTTATCAACTCCAAAAAACATCCTATCTTTAACAGGAATAATTCATTTCTAAAAAACACATTTCAATAGAAGGCAAAATGACTATAGATTAAGGTAAACTTTGCAAGGCACAGAAACTGATGAGAAACTTATAATACCTTATTTAAAAAACAGGCTTATAGTTATTATAAAAGCTCAGTGTTTATAAATTTCATTCATTCCATAAATATATAAAAGAGAACTAATACAGGTATTAACAAGAGAAAATACTACTAAATGACCTGTACTCATCAGGAGCTCCCAAAGTAGTTGTGGGAATTCATAGATCATCAACTAAGTATAACTCAAGAGTACCCTGAGCTAACAGAAGGTATGAACACAGTTTCAATGGAGTATGATAGCAGAAACAAGAATTGGGGTTTAGGAGATATGCTCATATTATAGGTTCAGGAAAATAAAGCTATGTTTTAAAGAACGAGTAAAAATTTGTCATGCTGGCAAAGAGAAAAAAGCATATGATGAAACAAATAGCACATGTAAAAGCATGCAGCAGTGAAAGAGACATGAAAGGCCCCAGTAGGAGTTTAGGAGAGGTGCATGGCAGGGAGAAATGAGTCATGGGAAATGAGACAAAAAAGGTAGGAGGGAAAAGATCCTTGTAAAACCATGTTAAAAGATTTCACAGGCAGCTGCAGCAAATATCTCTATACCATCTCAGACTGACCATCAAAATCCCAAAGTCTCCAAAAGTGCCAAATAATTAGGCCTCACCTTCCAAGTCTCCAAATAGGAATGTTTGTCTATTTCTATTTCATAATAACAGAAACAGTATGCACTGGTGACTAGAACATTATCCCAGAACTGGTCCCACTATAGATCTAACCCCAGGCAATTAATTACATAGGTGGTTTATTTCCTGAGACACCAGCCTACCTGAGGATGATATGGATATTAATGATATTGTTGCTAAAATCCAAAGCTTCTTGAGCTGTTTGAAGCTTCTTACATAACTACTAAGGGTTATTATTTCATCTGAGGAATAAGTGAACCCCTAAAGTGGCCTCATTAACATCAAAACAGCAGGCAGAGACACAGCCGAAATTGACTCCTGATTTCCAAATCCAGACTATTCACTTCCTGGAAGACAACTCAGAAGAGTATTTTATTACTTAAACATAACTGACAGTAAGTTTAGATGATGACAAACTTATAATAGCATCTGTTTTATGGTTCTCCCTTAACTCCTCTTAACTGTGACCAATAATGTACATGAAAATCTATTTCCAAAACGAAACAAATCCAAGCAGACTTGGAAAGTCTGAAATAAAGAAAACACTTGATTCCTTTTTTTCTTACCACTCAAGTGTTCAGTGATATAAGCTAAAGAATAAACTTCCCTTGTTGAGACTGCTGAAAGAATAATCAGGCCCCATGCAATAAGATTTTATGAAAGAGTGTCAGACATGTTTCTCAGAACAGAAAGGTGCTAATCACAAATACAGCAACTCTAGGTGAATGGCAGTACTTTCTGACTCAAAGTTTAACCAGTCCCATGGAGCACCAATGACAAATGCAACCATATAATTTAGTGCTCTTCCATATCACATCATAAAAACAGCAGTAAGTAACTAAAATATGGATCGATGTGTCACAGAGCACCAAAGTAAACCCTCTGAAATCATTTATTTTCAAATGAAACACAGTTGTCACCTCAAAGGGTACCAGGTGATTTTTAGGACCTTAATATTTAACCTGGAGAACTTTACTAGAAATGGAAACTCAGCATACAAAGCATTATTATGTTCATTTCATGATAGCTAAAAAATTCTTGATTATGCCAGGAGAACAATTTTCATTGAAAAACGCCTGTCACAAAACAGAAGCTTTCTTTACATACTTTACTCCTTCATGGAATTGCTATTAAACACCTACTCTTGGCAAAGTATGATGCATTTCAGGGGGATACAAAATTCCTTGTCATCCAGGAACACTGATTCCAATCAAGAAGAAAAACAAAGGGGCAAATATTTAATATCAGTGAAAGCATGCAGCACTTAAAAGCCAGAACATGTCAGTATGATACAGAAGGCAATATATCATATTGGGCAAAAATCAATGTATTTAGACAATTTTAATCTAGGAGATTTAAAAAAAAAAAGTGTAGTTGAACCAGTTAACGTGCACTGTGATACAGACCTCCTCAGCAAAGCTCTGCTGTAGCCGGTATCACAAAGTACAGAAATAGCTGATCAACTTGCTGCCTCTTACACTGGCTTGAATACTACTTGAGGACAATAGACAGATCTTATTTAACTCTTCATTTCCAGTACCTTGCACAGTGTGTAGCAGAGAAGGTTCTTGAAAAACAATGGCTAATTGAATGACTAAATAAATGAACTAAATTATTCAGTCAGTGAACAGATGGTTAAGACATTTCTTTTCTTAAGAACTGATAGTATAAGACATACTCTGGAACATGTCTGTATGATACAGATAGCAACATATACAATATTGGGTTAAAAAATTCAATGTTTTTTGGCAATTTTATATCTAAGAGATGAAAAAAAAATAGTTGAACCAGTTAACTTTAAAAGTCCCATCCAAATCTGAAAAGTCTACATCATAGAGGTTAAATGGGCTGGATTATAAAAGCACTGAATGTCAATACAGTCGTCCTTTGATATTCATAAGGAACTGTTTCCAGGAGCCCCCCAACCCTCACCTCTGTGGATTCCCAAAGCTGCAAATACTCAAAGTTCTTACATTAAGTTTCATAGTATTTGCCTATAATCTACACATATCTTCCTGTATACTTCTGTTTTGCTTTGTGGCGCTGGGGATCAAACCCAGGGCCTTGTGTATGCTAGACAGGCACTCTACTACTGAGCTATATCCCCAACCCTTCTATGTACTTTAAATCACATGTAGATTGCTTATAATACCTAATGCTATGTAAATAGTTGTTATGCTGTATTGTTTAGGGAATCATGACCCAAAAAAGTCTGTAACAGATACCTTTTTTTGGAACACTTTCAATCAAAGATTGGTTGAATCTATGGTTGTGAAACCCTGGGATTACAGAAGGCCAGCTATCTAAAAAAGTTCAGATTTTGAAATGGAAAATGAAGTTTATTCTAGACTCAAGAAGTGATTTAAAAGCACAGATATAAGAAAGACCTTTCAAATACTAGATTGCAGGGGGGGGGGGGGGGTGCAGAAAGCCAAGTGAAATGATAAAGGCCTGAACCAATGATAATGGGAAGCAAGGGCTGAATAAGAGAATTAAAGTTAGAATGGGCAGTGTTTACTGACTAAATAATTCTGACAGGCAAAGGAAAGGAAAAAAAAAAAATAAAAGAGGATTCAAAGTTTGAACCCACATGCCAGAGAACAATACAAAAGCCCTTTCCCCTAGTCCAAAAAGACAAACAATTCTTTCAATTCAAAAGAAAAATCACAATGAAAGCGTGTCCTGAATTAGAATCACTAGGAATATGCATTTATAATGAAGATTTCTGGATCTTATCCCCAATACATCTAAGGTACTAGAATGATGGCTCATTCTATAACCAGATGCCCAGGAGATTGTAATGCAAACTAAAAAATTTGAGATCCAAAACTCACATTAGTTTCTGCATGAACATGACTGAGCAGAGATTAAAGTAATTAAATGTCAATATCAAAAATGAAAATGAACTATATCTTAAAAACCTATGCTATTAGCCAACTACATTCTATTAATAGATAATAGATTTAGTGAAGCCTCAAAAGAACAAACCTATAGTTTTCATGCTTTCTCCAATCCTAAATTACACCAGTGATTATTACTGAATTTAACCTATAAAACTTGAAAGTACAACATAGAACTTAAAACCGCTCGATTGTCATTTAATCATAATTACATTTCATTCATTTTTACCATTATAAAAAAAAGTTTCATAATGGATAAAGCATGCATTTTTAGTACTAGATGGAGATGAATTTAATAAATTGGTATGCTGGAGAATTTCCACAGTTAAAACAATGTAGGCTTCTGTGAAATTAAACACACACATTAACAGTAAGCAAACTATGCACCACTTCCTCACCCAATAACTCCTGGAGTTATTACCAAATTAATTCCTATATACATATTTCAAAGAGTAAGTAATGGAACATTCAATTATTTGCATTGTGACCCTAGCATAACACTACTTGGCAAGTAGGTGAGGAGAAGAAGCTGGGTGGAAAGCTGAAAAGCAGATCTTCTTAATACTGCTTAACTTTTGGCAGGCCTGAGTAAATGACATAGATAGTTCTCTCAACCTCTCAAGATATATATAATATTTTATTTATTACCAGTAGCCACAATTCACTGATTTCCTTTAGTTCAGAACTAAGTTAGTTACAGAAGGAATATAACATGATACACTACCTGCATCAACTTTTGCATAGTCACAAACAGTTGCTTATTTTCAGGATTTTAAACCCTAGGTGACCCAACAATTATTCACAGAGGGTACACTGCCATTTATGAAGGGGAAATTGCATTAACTCACAATATATACAATATTGATACTTGAAGACAAAAATTTTACAGTTATCTGCTAATGAATTTATATATTCTCACCTTGGGAAAAATCAGGTTCTATAATGATGTGTTATTTAGATGTTTAAATTTTTAAATGTTGTATCACAAAGATAACAATAAAATAACTGAAGTTTTAAAACCCTCCAGCTCTATTTTTTTCCCCATTCTGAATTTCTACTTTTTTTCTCCAATCTTCCTCCCAACAAAAAGCTTCAATTTTTATTAAAGTTTAGTTGACAAAGAAGAAAATGGTCTCTCTCAAACACAATTCACCAAGATCAAAAAGAATTTCTAGCAAAAAGTATAAACCTTTTTTTTTTTTTTTATACTGGAGCCTGAACCCAGAAGCACTTCACCACTAAGACACATCTTCAGTACTTTTTATATTTTACTTGAGACAGTGTCTTGCTAAGTTGCTGAAGCTGGCCTCAAACTTAAAATCTTTGTGGCTCAGATTCCTAAGTCACTGAGATTACAGGCATATACCACCATGCCCAGCTATAAGCTGTTTTCATAGGATCATTTTCATAGTTCACCTTTCCTCAGAATAGTTTTTTTTTAAATCATTAACGTTCATAATAATACTTAGATCTTTTCTACTATTTTTCCAATGTCATATACATTCTTTTTTTGGTATAAAATCATTTCATACAAGCACATTCTTGTCTGGTTTTTTTCATTCAACATTATTTTATTATGATTCACGGAATAATCACAGTAACTGTTGAGCATTTTCTACAGAGAGGCAACCTGACATCCATTAATCCTTATAACAACCTTGTCAAAATGAGCATTATTACCTCCTTTAGAGCCTAGATAAGGACACTGATAGCTATGAGCAAAAAAAAGAGAGAGAGAGAGAGACTTCAGCACCTCCTCACAAATCACTGCACTACACTGCCTTTCAAATATTTTATAATAAAAAGTGATATGCTCTAAGCACAACTACATTTTATCAAAGAAACCAGTCTGTTTTTCATTTGAAATATTCAAGTTCTTTGTGGAAAAGAATTAATCAGCAACAAACCAATAAAATTATGATTTCAAAGATTTAATTTACAAACATACTTGTAACTTTCCACTTGTCTGCAGGAAGAGACAGTAATGAAGGAATCTGTACGGGAACTGTAAGCAAGAGGGCCAGGCAGAAGAGAACCAGGCAGAAATCTCCCAAAAGCATAGCTCTCCTGCTCAAACACCATCAACATCCCATCCATAGACTGGATACAAATCAAATCTCGACCTAAGAAAGAATTAGAAGAAATTAGATAACCTAGTCTTTTTGTAATTATAATGGTTTATTTTATTACTATCTGCCACACAAAAAAATAAAATATTAATTTTTCCCCAAGAGGCAACTGCATGGTAGTTTAAATTTTAAATTACAAACAAATGAAGCTATCAGGTTACTACTATTAATATACATACATTTCCCAATTTTTACATTATTTAAGTATGTCTATAATTTTAAGTACATTTATTTTTATTCATCATATGCTGAAATCTTCTACCACAAAATAATCCCTAAGAATAATCATGACTCTGGGTAAGATACAATTTTTTCCAAATTCAGAAATACAACAAAAACTCTTGTTTATGGAACTGCTACTCTTGTTCACCCTATGTCAATTCCATACTTTAAAATGATCTAGATTAGTCAAGCACAACAGACAGGAGGCTATAGCTCAATGATGAGATGCATGCTTAGCATGTGAGAGGTCCTGGATTCTCTCCCCAGCACACAAAACACACACACACACACACACTCCAGATAAAATCCATAAACTTGTCTTACACACTAATTGTGTATACATCACAATGCTAAGCAGGGTTGGGAGTGAAAAATACAAATATTGAAAAACGTGAATCCCTGCTTGCCTTAAACAATAGATTGATTTTACGTGACTTTTATTAATCTATCAGTATTAATTATGAAACTCACAGTTCTTAAAATATACTAAGATGATGATGATTTTTATAATATCACTAATCTGAAAAAGATCTAGTGGCTATAACTCTGCATGCTCTGCTTTGATGATTAATGTATCTCATCACTTATTGTATAGGGTGAAACTATGTCAGAGTAAAATTAAGCCAGTCATTAAAGGAATAAATAAAAGGTCAACCTTCTAGTTTGTCTTTTCTAGCTCATACTTCCATATACAGCAAGTCCTATAGTAATTATTCCTTAATACCTCATATATCCCTAGCAATATTGTATATAGTATATTTAAATTTCAAAGAGTGGCTTTGCTCAAAGAAATCAAATTGCATAGAAATAGATGCAATTTCTTTTTATCTAAGGATAATAATATAGCTGAACAATTTTCAAAAGAAACACATATAGCCAAAGAAGGTTATCATTAAAAGAGAAAACAAACAGATTTAAGGGTGCTTTTTAACTGCAACATATTCTGGCTCATATTTACCAATACAAAGGGTTAATCATCCTTAAGTTTCAAGGGACACTTAAAAAATTGAATACTGTTTCAACAAATGAACATTCACTAAACATATATACTGAACCACTCAGAGATCTCTTTAGAGACATAGGGACTAATCAAATGATGTTTTTATGTATGCATGGATATGCCACAATGAAACCCACCATTTTGTATAATTAACATGCATCAATAAAAATCTTTTAATTAAAAAAGGTATTCTCTGGGGGATGGGGCTGTGGCTTAGTAGTAAAGCACATATCTAGCATGTGTGAGGCACTGAGTTTGATCCTCAGCACCACATAAATAAATAAAATAAATATATTGTGTCCATCTACATCTAAACAATATATATATATTTTTTTTTAAAAAAAAAGATATTCTCTCAATGTTCAGGTTTTTAATATGCATACTTTTTATCTTTTAATTTAGTCCTTGTCTTCCATATTATTAAAGGTTCCCCAAAGAGGTGTATGCATGCTAGATGTACTAGCAGGTTGTATGTGTGTATTCACAGAAGCAAAGAGTACCTGTCTGCTCCCAGCACTGAGAAATAAAAATGCTTCCAAGTGTTGGAAATGGATGCTGCAAAAACTTTGTAATTATAAGGAAAATCTTTTATTAGTAGAATCCCCAGGTCTCATTCAGGGCATCAATTCTTATTTTAGTTATGGTCCAACAACTGTAGTTTTTATAAACAAGTTGCAGATACTCCTGGGGCTTCAGCCTCTTCATTTATAAAATGAGTATATTTGTATAATAGCTCCAAGTTGATCAACCAATCTTCAACAAAGGCCCCAAGAATATGAAATGGGAAAAATGCAGCCTCTTCATTAAATGATGTTGGGAAAACTAGATATCCACACACACAGAAAGAAAGAATTGGATCTTTATCTTCCACCATACACTAAAATCCACTCAAACTGGATTAAGGACTTAAACATAAAACCTGAAACTGTAAAACTCCTAGAATAAAACACAGAGGAAGCTCAGTAATAGTGAGCTTAAAGGAATAAATAAAAGTTTTTTTTAATATAGTAAAACAGAAGAATAGGCAACAAAAACAAATATAAAAATGAGATTATTATAAAATTAAAAAGCACTGAACAGCAAAGAAAACAATCAACAAAATGAAAAGGCAACACACTTAGAATAAAAGAAGATATTTGCAAACCCTGTATCTGATAAGAGATTAGCTTCTAAAATAGGAACTCTTAACAGCAATAAAACAAATAACTCAATTTAAGAAGTACGCAAAGGAGCTGAATAGACATTTTTCCATAGAAGAGGTAAGAATGGTCAATAGATATATGAAAATGTATACATCATCACTAATCACCAGGGAAATGAAAATCAAAACCACAATGAGATATCACCTCACCCACGTTTGGGATTGCCTTTACAATAACAGGGATAAACCTAGAGGGCATCACGCTAAGTGAAATAAGCTAGATAGAAAGAAAAATACTACATGATCTCCCTTATAGAATCTAAAAAAGTCAAATTCACAGAAACAGAGTAGAAGACAGGTTGACAGGGAAAGGGGATGTGGGGAATGTGGGGGGACACTGGTCAAAGGGTACAAAGTTATACAAAAGGTACTGCAGTTATAAGGCATGTAAGTTCTAGAAACCTAATGTATAGTATGGTGACTAAACAGTGAATAACAATGTATCATACACTTGAAATTTGCTAAAAGAATAGATCTTAAGTGTTTGCACCACAAAAAAATTAAAATTAAAAATTAAAAAGTAATTATGTGGGGAGATGAGCTTGTTAATTAGCTTGATTAAGATAATTATTTCAAGTATATACACATATTAAAACATCACATTGTGCATCTTCAATATATATGATTTTTATTTCTCCATAATACCTCAAAAAAGCTGAAAAAAGTTTCAAGTTAGAGATTAAATGTCAAAATTCCTAACATTATATAGTACATATAAGGAAAACAATAAATTACAGAATTATTATGAGGGTATTTATTGTTTGCTTCCCCAGCCCAGAGAAAAGAAATTATCAAATTAGAAAAGGAGTAAAGAGAGATCCAACATGGCGGCGGGCGCAAAGAGATCAAGTCTCTGACCTCTTCAGCTGTGCGGGCATAGGGAGTCATAAACCATCTAAATGCTGTTTGCTCAGGATCACTAGGCAATGCTGAGCTGACGTGGATCTGGGGCGAACAGTCTGGGCCTCTCAGAACACACACCGAGCCCAGATCGGCTGAATTCAAGCTCCCGTTCGCCTGTTTCTCGCAGACGAACTGCTGTGACTCAGCACTAAACGATCCCGCTGAAACAACTGGTTGGCCCTTCTGAACCTGCGGAGGTTAATATCAACCGAGCCTTCATAGGCAGTGGACACAGGATTGAGACAGGGCTTGGGAGTCAGGACCCACCCGTTGCATTGGTCACCCGGCAAAAGGAACGAACTGTCGCCATTTGTATGGGATACCACCATGGCAGAGAACTGACGTCACCAGAATGCAGCAAAAAGATAACTTCATTGAAACCGGCGGCGACAGGTGTGTAACCCCCTAGCCCTTCCTCTCCACACAGCGGGGAAACCTTAAGGGCCCCTACCAGCTCTCCCATGAGCGCGATACTCAGACCGAGGGAATCAGGAGTGGTGCGGGACCTGCGGCGCGGAACCCCCCGGCTACCACTCCCAACAGTGCTGACAACTGAGGTCTCTTGCACCAGCTACCGGGGGCGTGGCTACCGGAGGGCAAGCAAAATTCGCTTAGGGTTCTCAGCCCCAAGCTCCACAAACTTAGGGTCTGAGGGAATGGCAAACACGGAGAGTGTGCCCAGTCGTTCAAGAAAATAGGGCTCCTGGGTCTACAAAGAAACTACTAGAACTAATAAATGAATTCAGCAAAGTGGCAGGATATAAAATCAACACGCATAAATCAAAGGCATTTCTGTATATCAGCGACAAAACGTCTGAAACAGAAATGAGGAAAAACACCCCATTCACAATATCCTCAAAAAAAATAAAATACTTGGGAATCAACCTAACAAAAGAGGTGAAAGATTTATACAATGAAAACTACAGAACCCTAAAGAGAGAAATAGAAGAAGATCTTAGAAGATGGAAAAAAATACCCTGTTCTTGGATAGGCAGAACTAACATCATCAAAATGGCAATATTACCAAAAGTTCTCTATAGGTTTAATGCAATGCCAATCAAAATCCCAATGGCATTTCTTGTAGAAATAGATAAAGCAATCATGAAATTCATATGGAAAAATAAAAGACCCAGAATAGCAAAAACAATGCTAAGCAGGAAGTGTGAATCAGGCGGTATAGTGATACCAGATTTCAAACTATATTACAGAGCAATAGTAACAAAAACAGCATGGTACTGGTACCAAAACAGGTGGGTGGACCAATGGTACAGAATAGAGGACACAGAGACTAATCCACAAAGTTACAACTATCTTATATTTGATAAAGGGGCTAAAAGCATGCAATGGAGGAAGGATAGCATCTTCAACAAATGGTGCTGGGAAAACTGGAAATCCATATGCAACAAAATGAAACTGAATCCCCTTCTCTCGCCATGCACAAAAGTTAACTCAAAATGGATCAAGGAGCTTGATATCAAATCAGAGACAAGGCGTCTGATAGAAGAAAAAATTGGCTCCGATCTACATATTGTGGGGTCGGGCTCCAAATTCCTTAATAGGACACCCATAGCACAAGAGTTAATAACAAGAATCAACAAATGGGACTTACTTAAACTGAAAAGTTTTTTCTCAGCAAGAGAAACAATAAGAGAGGTAAATAGGGAGCCT